GCGTCTGCGTTTCAGGCCCTTGGAGGGTACACGAGGGCTACCAGGAGGATGTTTTGAGAACCTGTGACCCTGGTGCGTGTGCATCGAATAGAAGCGCCTGCAGCCTGGCCGACACCCGGAGTCCCTTGAGGCTGAAAACCAGGGCACTGTGGGCAGCAGTGGGTGACGGGTAAGGAGCTGGGAGCAGCCGCCGACGTGGCGGGATCGGAACGTGAGCGACTTTATGTCAGGGAACAGGACGGGGTGGGGAGAGACCCGGAGGCACAGCCCGGCAGTCCTGGAAAGATGCCAGCGAGACACCTCCACCCCCGCTGCCAGCACACGGGGGCTGGACAGGCGCTCAGGGCCCCACCTCCTCATCTCTAAGATGACCCAGCCAGGGCTGGGTGGGGGTCTGAGGTGGGCAGGTTCACTCCGCAGTGACAGCCGAGCTCAGGCCCAGCCCCAGGGTGCCTCCAAGTGTGCAGGGGGTGGGGGGGCAGGGGAAGGGAGGGAAGAGGCCACGGGTGTTCGCAGCTACCCGGGCTGTGCTTTTGGCCAATGGCAGCGAAAGGGCGATCTGGGGCCACAGAGCATCTGCAGAGACCTCACGAATGTCACGGTCTCGAGATCGAGCCTTATGTGCAGTGGACGTGGACAGCGTGAGCCCGAAAATCCAGGGAAAAGGCGGAACGGAAAGCTCCTAAGAAGGGGAGGCCACCAGCTGAGGAGGAGGGCGGGGAGGGCGGGCGGCCCATGGCTGCCTGTCTGTGGCTCCGTTTGCAACCGAGTGGATCCCTCACAGGGTTCTAGAGCCCTCGGCCCGCACAACCCCATCTGAGCACTAGGGGCCTGGGACATGCTATCTGGAGGGGGCTCCCCGACAGACCGGGTCTGCTGCCTGGGACGCGCAGGTGGAGACAAGCCCCCAGCCGTCGACCGTGGGTGGTGGGCTCTGTGCACAGGACCTCCGTTTCACAGCCGCCCCCGCCCTGGCTGACGCCCAAGCAGCTCTCTTCATGACGATCGCTGGTGTGGACCCGCGGCCACAGGACCCCGGCTCCGTCTGTATCACTGGAGCCTCTCTACCGACACCTCTCCGATGCCACGGTCACTTCTTCATTTAATAATTCACTGCAGACAGGAAAGTAATGGCATCTAGTCCCCTTCTACCCTTGAGAAGAAACAAACTCAGGCCCAGGTCTCCGTGGCAGGGCCAGTGGAGGGTTGGGGAGGAGCTGGGGAGGGAAGGGCGCCCACTCCTCTTCGTGGCGTTTGAGTCTTCAGCTGGCTCCTGTCTGGGCTTGGAGCCCACCCCCAGCAAGGGACCCCCAGATCCTGAGGCAGATCCACCCTGATGACTTTGCACCCTGGATGTCACATTCCGTGGTCAGAGCTGCTCCCGATTTTGGGTGATGGATGATTTGATCATAGCAGCCACTCCCTGTCACCAGAGGACCCTCAGCTGGGCCACGTGTCCCCTGAGGAAGTAGGCTCTGGCCATGAAAGGGATCCCAACAGAGGCAGGGGTGTGTGTGCTCCCGCGGGGAGCTGGGGCCAGCAGGAGCTTCTCCTCCGCACAGACGGGGAAGAGCTCCATGGGGTCGCCGCGCAGAAGCCCGGGAAGCATTTCCAAGAAACCAACGAAAACAATGTCAGATGAAAAGACCCGAGTCTCCAAGCCGCAGTGATCTGCCACGTTTTACTTTCTCCTGCAAACAAATACCGACGTTGGCTAGCTAACTCTGAGTGTGTGACTTGGTTTCCTTCTTCCAGATTCTCAGCCCCGCCTGCTCGTATCTGGGGACACACGCGCAGCCCCTCACACTCGACCCAGGCCACGTGGACGCTGCCTCCTAACCAGGCCTGGGCAGGGTCCCCCCACTCCAGGTGTTAACGCTAACTGACGCGTTGGAATAACCTCTCAGAACTGTGACGTTCCTGGCACCCGGGCATCCCTCGGCCGTCATGACGCACCTCCGGAAGATTAAATTCAGGTGCAGTTAAACAAAAGCAGTGACAGCTGCTCCAGGAAGCCCCTCTGCGTGGCACACGTGTCTGAGACTCCCACTGTGTCCTATGGTTACTTTCCTCCTGCAGGGCTCCCAGAGGGCTCTGCCGCTCCCGCTCAAACCTTCGGGTGGCAACCTTTCCCCATTTAACGCCTGCCCCCCTAGGAGGTGAAGGGAACCAGCCTGACCCTCTGGGCCCCATCAGAGACCATCCGCCACGCTGACTTGAGAGGAGAGATGAGGCCTCGTGAGGACGGAGAGGGGCTCAGGGCCAGGGGCTGCCTCTGGGCTCATCTTCCGCCAAATCATCCTAGGACACCTTCAGGGCTGAGATTAGGAGTGCCAGTGGCTGGCAGCCGAGGCATGCCCCGCCCCCCACAAGCACCGGACCCCCTTGGACACTTGGATTCCAAATGCCCTGGAGCCCTCGGTGGGGCCTGTCTGTGGGGACGGCAATTCTAAGGAAACCTCAAGTGAGACTTGATCCTACAAACTGTATGTGAAATGAATCCCATAGCCGGAGGCTACGTGGTTCGTTTCTGTCCACCTGGGCATTTCCACAGCACACTTCATGCCCCTACGAGCCTGCCTCTGGCTGCCATGACCCCCGGGGACTCAGGCCTGGAGCTCGGCACAGCGGAGACTGGAGTGATATGGACCCCACGGCGCCATGTGGGAACGGGAAAAAGCACCACAGGAGCAGCTTCGCCTCAGGCCGGTGCCTGCTGACTGGCCGCCCTCCACTCCGACATGTCCTGGCTACACCTCCAAGGGCTGTGGCAGGAGAGCTGCCAACCGGCTCTCGGACCACATGGCAGAAGCCGTCCAAGCCGGACCCTGAGACACAGACGCATGAGCACGGAGGAGACAGGCCCTGGCGTGGCCTCGGTGTCCGGCGCAGCCAGGGTCGCAGGGCAGGACATGCAGCGGGACGCGGACGGACACAGATGCCTGGGTGCTGCTTTCCACTCATTCGTTTATTTATTTAAAAGCCACACTGACTGACAGCGGCAGCCCAGGGTTCTGCCTGAGGGAATCACAGTCTGTGGTGCGGGGTTCAGTCACAGCCCCCAGGGGCAGGGGGTGACAGGGAGCCGGGAGCCCCTGTGGGCTGGTAGGGCCAGTCAGCGTGCTCGTGGGGACCTGGAGGGTCACTTGGCGGCCGTGGCGCCCCTCCGGGAAAGGAGAGACGAGGGAGTCAGAGGGAGAGGATGGGTGAAGGCTGGTGCCTGGGGCAGACCTGGGGAACCCGGCCTATGATGGGCCATGCTGGGGCAGCTGGGGTTGGAGGGTGCTGCTGGGTATCGGGCCGGGGGTCCAGGAGAGACGTCCACGCCGGGCACGGAGCTGAGAGGGGTGCTGGGGCCGGCCGAGGCAGGAACGTGGCTGGTAGGACTGGATGGCCAGCTGCTGAGTGGGGTGTGGGCAGGAGGGGCGGGAGCAGGTCAGCCTTGCCAACTTCATGCTGCGCTCACGGTCCTGGGGGCCTCCACGGCTGCCTGCGAAGGGCTGGCAGGCTCCCCGCACAGACCCCTTCTGCCTCTGAGACGCGTGATGGGCGCTAAACTCAGTGCCGCACAAACCCATGGTGGGGCTGCCACGTGCCCGGTACATAAGAAAAAAATTAATGCGTTGCTCTGGAAAGCAAGCCTTCTTTATGAGGCCCGGGCTTTCTTTAAGACATTCAATTTCTGGTCAACCATGCTTCAAGTTTAATTACAACACAATCATATTTTCAAAAAATGATACAGTATTTTCTTCTGTAAGATACATTGTACCTTGTTCCAAGAACAGGTGTGGGCAATGCAGACCATGTCAATCCCACGGGTCACAGAGCACGAGGCCCTTCCCCGTGTGGGCTGGGCTGGGGCTGCCTGTCACCCTACAGCTCTGTCTCACAGATGCTCTTGGGGTACAGCGACTTTACAGCAAAACCCCAGTATCCACACCTTGAGAGGTATTTCTAGAGCTTGCCTGAGGACACAGGGAGCCCACGGCAGTTTCAGTTTCGTGTAAACATGGGGATTGAGGGCCTTCCTAGGATCTGGTCTATTACAAATGCTGTTTACCTTCAGAGAAAACAGAAACCTCTGGGAACACCCTGATTTCACTCAGAGAATGTGGCTGTTTTTGTAATTAGCTCCCAGCATGTGGTTTCCCTCTCAGATGATAGGAATCTCTGGAGTTTTAGAAAAAAGCAATATAGAAATACTGTTGACATTAGCTAAGCTTACCCAAAACACAGTAAAACTCAGGATGAAAGCTAACCCCGTCCTCTCCAAACCGGGAGGAGTGGCCTGGACCCACAAAGGAAGCTGCTACTGGTTCAGGGACTGAGAGCACACACTCAATAGTATTTCCTTTAAAAAAACACCCTAAAGGTTAAAAAGGTAAGCTGATTTTTTTTTTTTTTTTTTTAAGTGAAAAGGAGCCGTTCCCATGATGGGTAAGGGGCAGGCGGGTTGAGGAGGAGGTGCACCAGCCTGGATGCCCATGGTCCCAGGAGATGAAACGTCCCCTGGAGAAGTGTCTTGGGGACATCCGCCCAGCACAAAGCTCGCTCACCTTAAAGACCACATCAGGACCACAGGCTGAAAAGCAAGGTTTATTCCTAAAGGCACCTGCGAAATAGCTATGCACATTTGCCTTTCACCTGAAGCAGCTTTAGTACAGGACCACACACCAGGACCTCCCGGGTTTTGAGAGCAGAAGAGCCGTGTTCTCCCCTTGGCTGTTACACAGTCGCCAAGCAGCACAATAACCGTGACTATCCGAGCATGCAACACTGCCCCCCACTCCCCGCAACAGGGATCAAGGAAAACGCGTCGGAACCCTTCCTTGTCCTTTCCTTCGGAGAGAGTCGATGCCTCAGTCTCACTAACGGGACATCACACAGTTACACGTGAAACACGCCCGCTGCTCTACAGCGACGTCATCTGTTTCTGTGTCTTTAGAAAAAGCACCCCACATGCTCATTTTCACTGCTTAAGGTTAGAAAGACGGCGTTACCGTTGGCAGGAAGGTAGGTGAAGCGTTGGTACTGGCTTCGCTTTCTCTTCCCGTTGCAGACATAGAAACTGACGTGAACGGGGCTGGTTATCCTCTGATTCCGAAACGGCGGGATCTCGACGACCAGAGAATTCTAGCAGGAAAATGGCATACAGGAAGCAGACAGTTAGCACAGGGCAAGCAAGGGCTACCATGCCACGGAGGCCACACAGCTCGCCTGCGTTTCCACGGAGGCCACACAGCTCCCGTTTCCACGGAGGCCACACAGCTCGCCTGCGTTTCCACGGAGGCCACACAGCTCCCCCGTGTTTCCACAGAGGCCACACAGCTCCCGTTTCCACGGAGGCCACACAGCTCCCACACGTTTCCACGGAGGCCACACAGCTGCCCTGTGTTTCCACAGAGCCACACAACTTCTCCATGGTTTTTTCTTTTGAGACGGAGTTCTGCTCTTGTTACCCAGGCTGGAGTGCAATGGCGCGATCTCGGCTCACCGCAACCTCCACCTCCTGGGTTCAGGCAATTCTCCTGCCTCAGCCTCCTGAGTAGCTGGGATTACAGGCACGCGCCACCATGCCCAGCTAATTTTTGTATTTTTAGTAGAGACGGGGTTTCACCATGTTGACCAGGATGGTCTCAATCTCGTGACCTTGTAATCCACCTGCCTCGGCCTCCCAAAGTGCTGGGATTACAGGCGTGAGCCACCGCACCCAGCTCCCCCGTGTTTTCACAGCGGCACAGGGCTACTGTGATGGTTAACTCCGGACCAGCCACCTGGACGGTGCAGAAGCAGCCGCCGACAGCCCTGGACTCTGCGTGGCGCCGGCATGCGTGTGTGGGCATGCGTCTCCTAGGGCATGTGTGCCCTTGACTTCTGGCACACCTTGGAGTCGGGAGGCTTCCTCAGAGCAGCGGATCAGACTTCCTACACTGACAAGACCAACAGCGAGATGGAAATCTTGTCAACGTGGGGAAAAGAAGCCAGGAAAACAGAAGCTGTGAACAGAATCGGGACAGTGTGCCTGAGGGTGCAGGCTGCCTGGGGCCACCTGGGCAAGGGGCCTGGCGGGGATGCAAAAGGCTTCTGCTTGTCCCACCCTGAAGGGTTGGTGACCTTCAGAAAACCACCTGAGGCCCTGCCTCCTGCCGGGTGTGATGGCCGCGCCTCGAGGGCCCCGCACCTGCGCAGGTGACTGTGGTGGGGTCCCGAGGGGCGGGGCTTCCTGGAGACACGGTCTCCAGGGAGGGCCTGTTTGTCACATCTGACAATGGCTGACGCCCTGAGTCAGACCCAAATTCGCTCCAACTGAGGAAGAGGTGGCAGGCCCTGACCCCCACAGACCCTGGGTGGGAAGAGCCAAGGCACAGAGGCACAGACACAAGAGGGCGGCGTGTGGCGGCTGCCGTCACCTGTTCATGTTTTTAATACAAGAGTCAGCAGCGTGTTTACAAAACCCAGGCTCTTTAAAGAACACACATGAAACATAAGCCACAGGGGTGTGTGGCATGGGGGGTGTAGCAGGGGGGAGCGTCCATGGGAGTATGTGGCATCAGGGGTTGTGGCATGGGGGGATGTGGCACGAGAGTGTGTGGCACGGAGTGTGTGGCATCGGGGGATGTGGCAGGAGTGTGTCATGGGGGTGTGTGTCATGGGAGTGTGTGGCATGAAGGGGTGTGGCATGGAGGTGTGTGGACTGTTTGCAGAGCTCGGGGGCTGGGACACGGACACCCTGACTGTGAGCTCAGGGCCCAGCAGTGTTACGCAGGGCCCTAAGGACTCTAAACGACCGGGGTGGGGCAGGCATCCCTGCCAAGGGCTGCACTTGGCATCTGGGGAGTCTTGGGGAGTCACATCTATAGTTTAATTTTTTAACCATATGATTTAGTTTAATGAGCAGAAGAAAATCCATTGTGTTACTTCTTTTGTTAAAATAATTAATTACAGCTCAGCACCTAGCTTAATAACCAAATTGACTGAATTATGTTAACAACAAAATCTTGTAATGTTAGACAGAAAACTGAAAATAACTTCAGGTCCAAGCTCTTCCATTTACAGATAATGAGACAGCTGAGGCCCAGACGCCCTTGCAGGGGGGCCGAGCCCGCCTGTCACCCCCAGGCCCGTCCCCCAGGACTACCCTTCCTCCGGCAGCAGGTCTGTTTAATGAACTCTAGTTCATCGGGAAAAAGCCACAGCACATGGGCGTCCTCCTGCCTCTGCCCCTCATTACAGCTGCCCCGGGAAAGCTGAAGCCGCCGCAGGAGGCCAGGAGCCCTTCAGCGCCGGCGGGGCCTGGGCCGCCCCGGGGCTGCTCCCCCAGCACTGTGGGTCTGGCTTCGCCCGGCCTGGCCATCTCCTGGGCTGACCCCGGAAGCCCCAGCCGTCCGGAGCCAGTCTCAGCGTTCTACGGGGGGATAAAGAGACGCTTCTCCCGGGACTGTTTTCTGAATTCAGAAGCAGCTGCTCTGGAGTCAGCAGCTACAGCAGGAGGGTCTTTACAGCAGAAGCAGCTGAGGGAAGAGACAGAGGAGCAGAGACTGAAATAAAAATGGGCTGGGAGGTATCGGGCAGCGGTGAGCGGGCAGAGGCGGGCCGTGGGGCAGGCCGAGATGGGCAGAGGCGGGCCGTGGGGCAGGCTGGATGGGTGGAGGCAGAGACCCCGCTGAGATGGGTGGAGGTGGGGAGCAGGTGGGGCAGGCTCGATGCGGGGGCAGGCTGGACAGTTGGGTACCCCGTGGGGCAGGTGGAGGCAGGACTCCATGGGGCAGGCTGGACGTTTTGTACCAGTTTTGCTGGGTCCTACCTGACCAGAAGGTCCTATGTTGATCTGAGCACAAGCCAACCCACTTCAAGTCTCTAAATAGACCAATTATATGACAAAAGTACTATCTCCATGGGAGCGCTGCCCCTTAAATACACAGAGGACGCCATAAAGCAGCAGCACTGAAGGACTGCACAGGAGAGGGACTCGTCCACACGGGAAAAAACACGGGCTGCAACACGGCACCGGCACCCACGAGACCTGCCTTAAAACCCCACTGCTGGGATGAAGCTCATACACTTAGCCTCAGAAAGTTCAAACACCAGCTACACGGCACCTCCCATTTTGTTTAAAGCACACACACAGGCCGGGCCCAGTGGCTCATGCCTGTAACTCCAGCACTTTGGGAGGCCGAGGCAGGAGGACAGCTTGAGCCCAGGAGTTCAAGGCCGGCCCGGGGAAGACGGCAAGTCCCACCTCCACAAAAAATTAAAAATTAGCTGGGCAGGGTGGGGCACACCTGTGTTCCCAGCTACTGGGGAGGCTGAGGCATGAGAACTGCTTGAGCCCAGAAGGTCGAGGCTGCAGTGAGCAGTGATCCAGCCACCGTACTCCAGCTTGGACGGCAGAGCCAGACCCTGTCTCGAAAATACACACATGCACACACACACGCATGCACGCACAGTGTGATGTATGTAACGTGCATGTGCGCATGAACATCTACGCACACACCAGCAAACGGGGCAGGAAGCGTGCCCGGTGCCCGCAGGGGTTACACCTAAGTGGGTGAGATAACATGTTTTGTTTTTTATACCGTCCAAATGTCCGGTATGACTATGAAGTTCCTTTACGATGAGAAAAAAATTTATTAAAGGAAACTTTACTTAAGAGATTAAAAATGAAACAGTAGGCCAGGTGCGATGGCTCAGGCCTGTAATCCCAGCACTTTGGGAGGCCAAGGCGAGTGGATGACCTGAGGTCAGGAGTTCAAGACCAGCCTGGACAACATGGCAAAACCCTCTCTCTCCTAAAAATACAGAAACATTAGCCGGGAGCGGCGGTGGGCGCCTGCAGTCCCAGCTACCCGGGAGGCTGAGGCACAAGAATCGCTTGAACTCGGGAGGCGAAAGCGGCACTTCCATCTGGACAGAGTGAGACTGTCTCAAAAGAATACACCGTGAACTTCAAGTACATAATTTTCCACATGTGCTCTGAAGTTTGTTTTAAAACATACAGCTCTTTAGTGTCCTTCAAAACATGCCAGTGTCAAAAGTAAGAAAACCACAGAGAATATGGATGTCAGCTTGGCTGGAACTGTTTTCAATGTGGAAAGGCTCATGGCTTCTCCTGGCTGCTCTGCCCAGGGTGGGCCGGGCAGCACGGCTCCTGCGTCCAGCGTCCTGCGTCCCGCATGCATGTGCGGGGCTGGCAAAGCCTATGGAGACCCTGACAGACCCGGAGCCAGGGAGGCTGGGCGACACGAGGCCACGCTGCCCACAGGTGTCAGTACCCAGCACGGACACAGCAGAGCAAGAGTAGGCCAGTGGGGGAGGCCGGGCACTGACCCTATGAACAGAGGCTGCCAGCCCCCTGGGCACCGCCCACCGCGAGCCCACACAGCTGCAAATGCCCGGCCAGCGGGGTGGGGTGCCGTGGACCTTATGGACACAGAATGGGCCATGGAAGGAGAGGCCAGGGCAGCGGCTCCGGCTGCTTCTGCCTGTAGGTGGCTGTTCCCAGGACCCTCCTAGCTCTGCGGGCAATAGGTGTGCAGACCGGAACTCCTTCCTCTGAACGCTGGCCTGCCCGGGGCCTCCAGCTTTCCTGGAGGGGCTTCTCAGGTGAAGACAACTGGAGCCCTATGAGGGCCAGGAGCTTCAGGGGAGGCCTGGGCACAACTGAGGCGCAGGTGAGCTCGCTGGGGAATGCCTGCTTCGCCCAGGGCCAGGGAGGAGGCTCTTCCACCTGAAACCACGTGGAAAGGGTTCTGGGAAGGGAAGAGCCCTGGAGGAAGGGCGCTGGAGTCGCCGCAGGGTGGAAGGCGCTGCTCTCTCGGGACAGGAAGTGAAGGTGCCAGCACTGCTCTCCATGGGGGCCACCGACCCCGCCCACCAAGAGGAGACGCGCTCAGCACCCCTCCCCGGTGTCCTGCCCCCCTGCCTCCAGCCATCGAGAGCAGCTGTCCCCCAAGGTTTCCTAATGGCTTGGCTTCCACCAGCACGCGCGGAGTGTGCGCCCAAGACCTCACTGGCCCCGCCCAGGGGCACACGTTGCTGAGCTCAGGAGGCCCTGAACGCCTTCAAAACCCCCTTGGGAGCCATGTGGTATCTTACATTGGCCTAAAGATTTCTACAACTTTTATAGGACTAAATAGAACACTCAGAACACTCTACATAGGAATCAATCTAACCATATCAATAATAACACCAGGCCCGACGTGGTGGCTCATGCCTGTCCTCCCAGCACCTGGGGATCACCTGAGGTTGGGAATTCAAGACCAGACTGACCAACGTGGAGAAACCCCTTCCCTACTAAAAACACAAACGAGCCGGGTGTGGTGACGCATGCCTGCCATCCCAGCTGCTCAGGAGGCTGAGGCAGGAGAATTGACGATGGAACCCGCAGTGAGCCGAGAGCGTGTCGCTGCACTCCAGCATGAGCAACAAGCAAAAACTCCATCTCCAAAAAACAAAAGCATAACAAAACAGAACACCACCATCAATGGTCTACATGTGACAGCCCCAGAGCAGATCCAAAGACACCACCAAGTCTACGCTGTCTCCAAGACACCACCTGAAACGTGGACGCGCAGCTCACGAGCACGGGGACGGGGGGACGCGGGGGTCTCTACAGACGTCCAGACTAAAGGTCGTCTCCACGACTGACCGGTCAAGAAGGGGCGTTATTCTCAGGCACCCACCACGTTCACGTGGCACCGGAAGCGGTGGCAGGTGACTGGGGGGTCTGGAAACGGCCCGGTGAGGGCAGAGGCACGATGCCGCACACACGCGCTGCCTGCGAGCAGGCTGTGGCCAATCGCGAGTCCAGGAGCTACTCCCAGGCCCACTCTCGTGCCTGGGTCACCGTCACAGGGGAGGTGGGTGCCTCAGGGAGGATGGGGTGAGGAGTCCCAGCTGGGGACGCCGCAGAGCCCTGGTGCTGCGAGGCCTGCTGTGTCTAGGCAGGTGCTGGCCACCCCAGGCCCGTCCAGGAGCTCAGGGCAGCACTGACTCCCGGCGGCCCACTCCATGCTGGGTGACGGAGACGGCGAGGGGACAGCAAAGGGTGGAGGGTCCGTGTGGGATGACCTTCCCGGGCTGTCTCAGCACTGCGGGGTGTGAGGCGGCCTCGGCCCGTCCAGCACTGGTCCCAGCTGCCAGGGCTCTGACCTGACCCTTACGCTTTGGCTAACATCACGCAGCACTTCGGCAAGCACTTGGTGATCCCGTTACCGGTTCTGTTACTCTGTGCGTTATTTTCATTTGTTTCATTTCAACAAACAGGAACGCCAGCCTCCCGAGGCCCCGGGGACCCGCAGTGGCCCAGGCAGACCCCAGCCTCCCGAGGCCCCGGGGACCAAAGGCACTCACCGGCTTGTACAGGTCACGGTCAGTTTTCGCTTCCATCTCCCAGACGTGGTGGCCATCTGCAAGGAAGGAGCAGGAAACGTCTGTGACTTTGTGTGGTGGGGAGCCCCTCCCCAGAAGCCCCCACGTGATGCAGGCCCAGGGCCCTGAGCCAGGAGAGCGCCTAGTCCCAGGAGACCCACATAGGCCCAGCCCATGGCTTTCGTCGAGAGCAGCACCTCGGGAGCCACGTGCCCCGGCCAGGCCCCAAGCGCCACGCCCGAGTTCCTCTGTGAGTCTGGAGAGGCGGAGGACACGCAGCTCAGGGCTTGTGCTGACCCAAGCCCAGGATGGGAAGGACTCCAGGGCAGGGGCGTCCTCGGGACTCCCTCCTGGCCCCACGTCTGCCGGACTGTCTCAGCCCTGGGACAGGTCGTGGGAGGGTCTCTACACCCCATCCTCTCCCGGGAAGGCAGGGTGAGAAGCGGGTTCCCCATCAGCAGAGTGCGCATCTGCGTGCACCTGTGCCCAGCTCTGCACCTGGCTCTGGAGTCCCCAGCCCAGCCTCCCAGGGCGAAGGCGGCGTGAGGGTGCTAACACGGGTGCCGGGGGCTCCAGGCCCTGGTGAGCTGCCCACTCGTGCTCCGGGCATTTGGGGAGCAGAAGCATCTCCGGCGACGAGGGCCTGGCTGCTGGCCCCGGGTGATGAGAAAAGCTTCTTCTGACAACTTCATGCACATCAGGAGGCAGAAATGCAAAACACGAGGTATTTTTAGCCTTTCCCCAGTGGCCATTTGCATGTTTTTAAAAAATAAAAAGGCTCCCAGAGGTGCAGTGAAAGGACATGCTGTTCTCTCCCCCCATGCCGGGCCGAGGTGGCCGCGACACAGCCTGGGTGTGTGCACGGCCCGGCCCCTCAGACAGGCTGAGTTTGGGGCAATTATCTTGAATTAACGGATGTCAATTTCCTACAGAGTCTCTTCCTCTCTTTTATCTTCTCCAAAATAAAGTCTGTTCCCAAAATGAACACTTGCAGGTGTCAACCCTTAAGTTTATCCTTGTGCTCTGTCTACAAAGAAGAAAATGTGCGTCTGTTGCAAACCCTGAATTACTGGTAACTCAGACAAAATCTCCTTTTCTCTGTCACAGTGCCGCGCTGCTGCCGGGTGGAGGGTGGAGAGAGGAAATGTGAGTCACATTTGCAGGACCAGAGCCGCCCAGCGAGTCCTGGCCACGCCAGCCTCGGAACGTCCGAGGCCCCCACGCAAATTACCCTCCAGATGGACACACTCCAGAGAGCCAGGTGGACCAGCCCCCTGCTCTCCTCTAGGAAAGAAGTAACAGGAAACTAAAAATACTCCATAGCGCTTGAGGGCACCTGCCTTTCCCGGAGCAGCAAGTCCTCCCGGCTCTGGAGCGCTCAGGAGCCCGGGGGAGAAAGGCCCTTTCACTCCGGCACAGGCGCTGGTGGCCGGACTCCCAGAAGCCGCTCAGGAGCCCCCACACCCAGGGCATAAAAATCCAATCACCTTTGTGTAACCAAGTCTGGTTTCTTGGTACCTTTTTAAAACAACTTTTGAAGTTTTCTTACAACAAAGCCTGTCTGCGGGATGAGGCCCCGTCCCCACCCCACAAAACCCTGTGTCCTCAGAACCTCCCGGACACAACCGGCCGTGGCTTGGTCTCTGCTCCGCCAGAGAAGCTGACAGTCACAGCTTGTTTCCATCGGAACTTCCCCGAGGCTGCGGAGGCCTTTGGTACTGGGAAGGGGAGGGAGGGTCAGTGCCCACGCTGAGCAGCAGGAGAGAAACTGAGGCACACAGAGGGCCAGAACGTCGTGTTTCACGACACCCTGAGGAGGAGACACCATTTTTGCAGCAGAGGCCAACAGAACTGCTCCTGTTTGTGTCCTGAGAAGGGAGAGGGACTCCGGCTGTCCACCCCGCGGGCTCCTCCGCCGTCTGCCCAAAGCAGTGAGTCCATGAAAAGCAAATGGAGAGACAGCTTGCGGCCGTCTTTCTCCTTCCGTGCCTCCTGGGAGCCCTGTCCGCGTGGCCGGCCAGGCCCGGCTCAGCACCTGCCCCGGAGCGGCCTGCCCCATACCCTGTCTGGGAGCGCTCACGCCCAGCACTCCTGTGCAAGGTGGGAGCAGGGGTGCTTAGATGTCCCCTCAAAGTGTGGGGAACCGACACGCCCCGACAGTCCTCGGAGATGTGGCTGAGCCAGTGCCTGGGCCCTCCCTCCACCTCACGGGCGGCCTCTCTCCCTGCAGCCTCCGACGTCCATGAACCAGGGCGAGGGCAGGCTTTCTGCTTCTGCTTAAGGATCATAAAGACATCGTCTTTCAAAGGTAGCCCGTTTGTGGCCAGAAATGTCTGTCTAGCAATTGCTTCAGGGACAAGGAGCTGAGGCTGTTTACAGATGGGAAGAGCCACACACCTCAGGAAAGGAGGCACACAGGCCTCGGCGGCTCCGCGCTCCCCAGAGACCCGGGGGGCAGGGCCGGCCCGCGCTGTTCCAAACTCAGCCTCTGGCCGGAAGGCAGGCAGCTGGCTCTGAAAGGGCCTTTGTGTTCAGCCTTATCAGTGCTCCGAGTCCTCAGGAGGAAACCGTGTGAGTGCAGGAGTAAAAATATTCCAGATCATTAGGGAATTCCCTGCAGCCTGAGTCATCGGGAGGCTTCCCTGCCATGCCCTCCAGGTTTCCACACAGGCAGGCTGGCCAGCTCAGGAGCCTCCCAGACCGGCCAGGACCCGCAGCCCAGCCGGGCCACCCCCACACCAGCACTGACACTGAGCCACTGTTTCCACAGAGAAAGCCACGAGGGCCACTGGTGGTGGCAGCAGTGTCCCGGGTCCCATGCCACCCTCAGGCCCTCGGTCCTGCATCCTTGTGCTAGGCACCCTGCAATGTCCTCGTGCCTGAGGTGAGTGTCCCCGGGGGTCTGTCATCCACCCCTGGCTCTCCCCACGTGTCTGTCCCAGCCGGGCCCCCAGAGGAGATTTGGATAGGAAATAGCCACCCGGCCACACACGGAGCCACCCTGTGACCCAGCCCTTCCACACCAAGGCCACGCTGAGGCACGCGCTCAGGAGACGGCACGTGTCCACAAGGGCCTCAGGTACCGACGTTCACAGCGGCTTTTCCACCATCATCTCCACAGGGTGGACGCGGCTGGCACCATGGACAGACTGGTACGGGCAGCCACACACGGGCATCACTCAGCCAGGAAAGACAACATGCTCTGACCTGCGCCAATGAGAGAACTGGAAGGGCGTCACGCCCTGACCACACATCAACACAGGACGCCGCGCTCCGTGGGAGCTTCAGGCCCCATGGCTAGCAGGTTGTGCTCCCTGGGAGGGGGCAGCCAGACCAGGTGAGGCCACGGTGAGGGGGATGGGATTGCTGGGGCTGGGGTGGGGAAGGGAGAGTGGGGTGGCTGCTCAGGGGCAAAGGTTTCCTTCTGGTTAAAGGAAAACGTTCTGAAATTGGTGGTGGCGGCGTAATTCTGTGAAGCTACCACAACCCACTGAACTCTACGCTTGGAGTAAATCAAATGGTGTATAGATCATATCTCGATAAAGCTGATACATAAAAGAAATTAGCCAACACGATCACGGTGATACTGTCATGTATGATCCCAAAACACCTGAGGAGGAAGGGGACAGACGTGACGGGTGGCCTCCACGCCAGGAGGCGCCAGGCAGGGGGATTCTGGGATGAAACACAGCCACTCCCTGAGGGCAGCGGGCTTTCTGGATGCCCAGGAGCAGGGCTGAGCCTTGGGGGGTGGTCCAGGGTGGGTACAATGGGGGGACAAGCTGGGACAACCCCACTGTGGTCCAGGAGCTCCCACATGCCTGGGGGTGCTCAGCCAGGGGGCTGCACGGCTCACCAGAGACTGGCCTCAGCTGGCAGCGGGGGCGGGGGGCGGGAAGGTCAGGCCCTCAGGCCCAGCCTGTGCCTCTGCCGGGGAAAAAATGTCCCTGGGCCATGGCGGTGGAGCTGAGCACCCCGGACGGCAGCCACGGTCTCCCCCAACCGCCATGCTGATGGCTCTGTTTAGCAGCTCTGACTTCCAAGTTGCCAGAGCCCCACACAGGGGAGGGCAGGGTCAACGGGTGACTCCCTGGGGTCCTGGGCAAAGCTGTGTCCCATTAGCACTGGAGAAATGGATGCAGCTGAGCCCCTACACTACAGAGCTGGGAGGACACGGGCTGCAGGCCCCCGCCTTGGTGCCCTGTGTGGCCGGGGACCCCGGTGACCATGCTCTTGAACTGAGGGGTCTGTGGGGTCACCACTCAGTTCCAGCGTCCTGGGTCATCTCCAGGCCCTCAGTGCTTCTCAGGGCATGGCCGGGAGGGGTCTCTTTCCCGGGCACTGCCCTCTGTGCCTTTCCTGTGTGGGCTCTGGGGGTGAATAGAGAAGCCTGCGGGTCCGCCTGGCCATCTTCCCTGCTCCTGAAGACGCTGTGTGGTGACAAGCAGACCCAAACCCTGCCCTGTGTTTGAAACAAGCGGTGACAGTAACGTCTGACCACACTCACAGGCACCCAGCATCGCTGCCTCCTCCGTGAAAACACAAATTTGGAAGATCTGCACTTGGCCTTTCACCCACTGAGCCAGACGCCCCTGAAGGTGCCCCTGTCACCATGCTGCCATCGTGGCTGGAACCCGAATTCTTCAGGAGACTGAGAGCTGAGCTGCTGCGTATAGTGGGGCTGCCCGTGCCGTGGACGCTGAGCTGGGAGTTCCCGGCTGTGTCCTCTTTGCTCATCCAGCCCCATCAGAAGGCCCGCCATGGAGGCCAGAGTGCCCGCCACGGAGGCTGCCATCCCTGAGCCCATCTGCCTCAGCCTACACCACGCATAACAAAAACAGACGGGCCACAGGCCCCCCCACCCACCCGGACTCCACTTCCCTCCTCGGCCCGCTCCTCGGTCTCCTGGGTGAGACCTTCCATGAGGGACGGGAGGGACGGGAGGGACAGCAAGGGCCGAAAGGGCACTGCCACCAGGTCTGCCTGACAGGGGCCCTGGCCCTCACCTCCCCCCACCTCCAAGAAAGAACCAGACCCT